GGTTGGGGAATGTGAGAAAGCATTTCAGGAAGTCAATGTGTTCAGTCTCTCTGTTATTAGCAGTGGAGGAGCGGTGGGGTTTCCATTAACTAGAGTGGCCAAGCTCCAATCATTATCTTTGCATGCATTCTTGGATGGTCAATAATTATTATTCATACAGAACAAGAGAATGTGCAAAACGACCTGGTACTGCATTTGCACCTATTGAGGCAGGAATACCAGGGGGTCATTTTGCCTTAGGATGGGATTTCATGCAGAAATATTTCTGTGCCTGTTTCTGAGAACTGGCAACAATAACCTGGAACATTAATTTTTAATTTACTTTTAAATAAATGATATACATTCATGTGGTTGAAAATTTTAAAATAGGCAAAGGACAACACATTATACATATCTTAATTTACTTCCTTAACAATATATCTTGAAGATTATCCCAAATCAGCAGATTAAACAGTCCCCTATTGTTTTAATGCTTCATGTTATTCTATTTTATAGATATAGCATATAACAGTACTATTATATGGAGACTTTTTGATGTTACGAACAGTCCTGCAGCAGTAACCTTGTACATTTCTCTAGGTTAAATTTCTAGAAGGTGAATTTCTGGATCAAATGTTTTGTGCATTGTAATTTTGTTAGATATTGACAAATTGTCTTCCATAGAGGTTATGTCAATTTATACTCTCATCAGTAATGTACAAGAGTGCATGTTTCCCCACAGTCTACATAACTTTTGGATCTTTACCAATCCAATAGTTTAAAAAATGATAAGTCAGATTAATTTTAATTTATATTTCCCCTATTATGAATGAAGTTGAGCACTTTCCACTTTTTAAAGAGCTATTTATTTGTATGCCCTTTGATGTGAACTGTCCATACAGAAACTTTGATTCAATTTCTATTGTGTTTTAACTTTTTAAAATCAGTTTGAAACAGCTCTTTATCGAAAGAAATATGATACATATGGCATCTAGTTTTCCTACCTTTTGCTTAGTGTAGGCATAAATACTTTTGAGACCTAAACTTATTTTAGGTTCCTCTCTAGTATGGAAATGAGGTCATGGTTCATAAGCACCATAAGCACTGGTTCAAGTGTTATAAAGAATGCAGAACTAACTGCATCCTACAAAATATCTTGCTTGAATTTCAAATATGCTTGCCTTTCCATATAGAAGAGAATATGCCTTATTTTCATCATTAAATATTCTTACCTCTTACTCATCGACATGATTTCCAAGGCCAGTGAATTAGGAATAACAGGATCATTTCACTTCCATGCTCTCTTTGGAGAACAGAATCTCTATGCATCTAATACCAGCATTTATAAAGAGCTGTTTGCAGGCAGAGTCCTCTAGGTGGATGAAGTGTAGGGACAATGCTACCTGTCTGCTCCTATAGAATCATATTCTAAGTTCTGTCTAGGTGTCATTTGACAACGCCAGGACCACAAACTAAAATTACAGTCCTTCAGTCCCTTAAGGGACTGCCTTTTATCATGAAACATGAGAATTTCTTTCAGATTTATGTGTGGGCAAAACTCTATTTCCTAAAGCACTAGTTTGTTTCGTCCTTTTAGGGAATGAAAGTGTGAATTCTACCACTGCACCCCCATTCTAATTAAATTCCTTTTTTACTGTTATTGCTACTTTTGATAAATTGACTTTTGGGAGGGGGTGATCCAGCTAATTAATAACCAACCAATTCAATCAGTATTTCTCATTAGATGGAATATGTAACAGCTGCTTAGGTGTTTCTGATAGTCTGTGAGGATTAAGGACCAGTGAACTAACTAAACAATTAGGCAAGATTGTAGCAGCAGAGTAGAAACTGCCCAATGACATCATTATTTCCACTTTCTATGTGGTTGATAGTAATAACAAATGGATGTTGTATTAATATTTATAACTTTGAAATTACATTGAGTGTTGGGACTGGTGACTGTGTTGCATATTCCATCCCTCTTCATATATGCATCTACCTATTTTATCTTTTCCTCGTCTCTTTGATGTTCACCTCTATAGAATGAAATGGAATCCATGTGGGAGGAAGGGTTTCAGAAAGAGAAAGAAATGGGGATGGAAGGAGAGATGGGTTGGGGGAGAAAGAGCGAAAGGAGAGAGAGAAAGAGAAAGGAACAAAAGTTAAAAGTAACGATTAGTTCTACAAATGCCTTTATTAGTTAAAAAGTTGAAAATAATATTCACGAGATTTTTCTCTAGGAATTGACCCTTCACGTAGAGATCAGGGAAGAGGTGAACAAGAGAATGTAGTAAAGGAGGCTTGACCTGTAGAAAGAGTGCCGCCAGCTATATAGATGGTATATCATTAAAGCCAGTTCCACAGGCACCCTTTTTATTATGACTCCAGCTCACTCCATCCACATTAGCCCAGTAAAAGTTCACTGAGCACTTATGTGCAAGACATGGTGCTTATGTGAATATAAGCAATATATCAAGATGACTGCAATAGGGATCTTGCCCTCAAGGATCTTATTTCTATACCTTCATCTATAATTTAAAACAGAAATTAATACTGGCTCCATAAGCAAAAATGCTTTTTTAATAGTTCTCTTAGGTTTCAAGTTTCCGGGCTAGTAAGATTTGCTGATAAGAACTTTGTAACTTTCTGTTGCACTAATGCATTCCCTTTTGAGTATTTTCCCCCAGCAATGGCGGAACCTCATTGTAGCTTCAAGGTACCGTGTTTCCCTGAAAATAAGCCGTACCCATAAAATAAGCCCTAGCAGAATTTCTAAACATTTGTGCAATATAAGCCCTACCGCGAAAATAAGACCTAGTGATGGGTGTGGCTATGCAGCGTTTCTGCACAACCCATGCATTTCCTTGGGGAGTGGTAAAGAAGATGAGCAGCCCTTCTCATCTGCCCCAGCTCATCTGACAGCTACTATCCCAGAGATGCCTAGAAAGGTGCGGGCAGCCCACCAACAAGGCTGGCTCCCCCTGTCAGGTCCCAGCCATCCTGTGCGTGCTGCAAGCTGAGGTGTTGAGGGGAAAATAACACATCCCCTGAAAATAAGCCCTAGGGTGTCTTCTTGAGGAAAAATAAATATAAGACCCTGTCTTATTTTGGGGGAAACACGGTAACTACAAAGCCTCATACCACCACCTATTTGTCCAGAGAAAAGATAAGAGACACCTCAGCACAGATTGTGCCCAAGGACCCACTGAGCAGCCTACTCCCCACGCCCTCCTGTGCACAGGGCTGAAAGAATGACCTAAATTAACCCCTAGCTTATTATACTACTAAAATCTAAAATCCCTGTCCTGGGAGGGCCTTATCTGCCATTTTTTGATCAGGCAATGTATGTGCTAGCATGATTTCTCACTGCACGCGCATTCCTTGCACTCCACCCCCAACTTGTAATGGTGCTCATTGACTTCATACATTTTCATATTTGTTTCACCTCCAGAAAAACCCCATTGGTTGGAAAGGTGGATTTGAGGCAGTCCATCCCTTCTACCTCCACAATAAATCCCCTTTCTTCCTTGGCAATCCTCATTATCTCAGTAATTGGCAACAGAATAGCTAGGGCAATATATTAACAAATCAGTCCCTGGCACCTCTGGGCTGCCTTAGGGAAAAATGCCTCTTGGAATACAATGTGGTAAAGAGGAAACAGGAAGTTGATCCAGTTCCAAAGGCAATAGATTCTCTAAGAGGAACAGATTCTCACTTACACTGATTTCTCGTTTAGTAGCACTTTTGATTATTCCTAAGTGTCTTAACTTCCTGGAGTCAATCTATTATGCCTAAAAGGGAATAACTCATTATTCTGAAGTATTAACTGCAGGTTTTGACCAAGGTAACTCCTAATTCTTGAATTCCACATAATTGTCATTAAATAATGTTTTCTTAGTGGCCAAATATATATATATGTGATAGGTTTAGATTAGATCGTTAAACAGACCTTTGCCACCCTTTGCCTTTAGGGAGAGTAAAATCTCAGTAGGACATGAAACATATATGAACACACATGTGTGTGGAAGGATGGTGCCCCTGATTATATAGAAATGATGTAAGAACTGACATAGACACCTTTGGAGTCTCTTCCATAACGGACTAATTTAGAGTCAGTCTTGACACCAAGGAAAATCTCAAAGATTTGGGAGTTTGATTAATGCAAAGGGTGGAATAGAACTAATTTCAAAGTGCTATTAACTAGAGTGCTCTGGCCTTTTAAGTTAGCTCTGATGACATAAAATTAATAGATTCATGTTTGGGGGAATGGTAGAGAAGGACCCCTTTTTTCAAACCTAGATTGAAATGACATCTGATATATTTGCAGTATATATAATTTTGCCATTTTATGAGTAATGAGGGATTTGGAAAGAGCTTCTTCCGGTACATCTTAGGAATGCACTAGGAGAAACTTGGGAAATGGGTGGAACTGATTACTCTAAGGTATGTCAACCATCTCTTCTCATAATCTGAAGAAATTCATAATTCAAAGAACTCTGAGACAGTCGAACAGGAAACACTGATTCTGAAATGGAAAGGGCCAAGCCAAAGGTCTTAAATTTGTCAGTTTCTATGCTTTGGTACTTGTTTGCACTTTGCTTGGTTTTCAAGAGAAAAGTCCCTTTTGGAAAAACAAAAACAACAAAAAAAGTAATAATTCTGTTTCAGTGAACCAATGGCCCAGGGATTGAGTGATTCTCATTTCGGTCAGTGCAGTCAAGGAGCAAGATGGTGCTTGAGGTTCCTGTAAGCATGGCGGCAGTAGCTGCAGATGCGTCCGTTCACTCTCTCCAGGAGTCCATGCGGGCTTGTGTAGAACTAGAGGCAAAAATACCAGATGAATGGTACAGGAGGTGAGGACACCGACTTCTCTTCTCCTGGGTTTATCCTTCACCAAGTGGCCAACACTAAGCTGACCTGGACAAAGAGGAGTGAGAAAAAGCTAAAGGAGAGCAAATAGAGGTGATTAGTTCATCAGGGCACCTTAGCCAAGAACTTAAGACTGATGGGGTAAGGGGGTGAGGGGAGGCTCCAAGGAGCTACTGTCAAGGAGGAAAGCAATATGGCGGAGGACACGGAGAGAACTCCTCCAGGCAGTGCATGCAAATCCTGTGAACTGCTGCCGCGAAGCTGGCTGAGCTGGCTCCTAACGCTTCATGTTGTACATGTCATTGTCAACTTGGTAAACCAGGCAGTGACTGTAGCCACTATTTCAGGAGCCTCATAAAACAGAACTGCATTATAATTTCAGCTGTGTTAAGAGAAATTGAAGGTTTCAACAAAAAGAAACCCTGTAACTATAGATATGAAGCTCTATGTTCCCTGAAAGTAGCTTTATAGCATATAAAACCAACCTTCCTCTCTGCAATTAAACCAGAGCAAGATAGATGTGTCTCATTCCTTGACGTAATGGCCTTGAAGCATCTTAATGGAAACACTCTAATAAAAGTTTATCTCGAACACTGACCAGCACTTTAGCACCGGCTGCAGGGAGAATGGTGAGCAACAGCCCCGAGCATTCAGCCTTATTGAAAAATAAGCTTCGGTGTCAAAACTTGGCTATGAAGAAATCAGGATGAACTGGGAGGACTGTGAGGATGAGAAAAATACAATTACATCTGAATCGAGCCCCTCGCGTCACAATTTCAGAGAAGTAATGTCTGATCTCTCAGTCAAAAGTTCTTCTGAGGACCTTCTGATACCTCTGTCAGACCATCTGTCGTGGCTGGCAGATGAGTGGAATGGCCCCCAAGTTCTCTGTTCTCTGGGAGGTGTGTGAAAGAGAACAGGGCATCACTAGACTTCTCATTCTGGAACTGAGCTCTTTAAAAATAAAATACCTTTGTAATCTCTAAAAGAAAGAAAAAGAAAATCTTTGAACCGACGTAAAGAAAATCCTAAGAAGTGTTCAGAGAGGAAAGGACTCCCGGGAAACAGACCCCACTTGCCATCTCTTAGCATTGATATGACACCTCTATCGTGGATGGAAACCTGAATTGCGTTTCCCTCACAGCGTCTTCCATTTCCACAAAAGTCATGATGTTTACAAGCTCTGCTTTCCATAATGACTGGATTCCACAAACAAACCTCAGGCCCAACTCACACATATTTATTCCACTCTCCAACCCTGTCCCCCCTCAGCCGGAGATGAGGGATTGATCGGATTGATCGAAGCTCATTTCTAGTCAGCGTAGTCAGGGACGACATGGTGCTCAAGGTACAGAAACAGACAACAATCAAGCCACTTTCATCTTGAAGGGAGCTGTGAAGTTTGGGGTATGCTCGGTAGTCATTTTCATGTCCCAAACCGTTGCTTTATTATCTTTAGCTTTATTTACTGACTGGGAAAGCAGGCACTGAATTGACACTGAAATTTAGCAGCCGAAGATGGAATGCACTCACTAAATTCATTTTCTGTTGCTCACCTTTGCTTGGAAACACCACCTTGTTTTAGTGTTGTGATGTGACCAGGATACTGGGGAAAAGCCATCTCGATTTAAATGACAGTCACTAAATCACAGGACGTTAGAAACTCACACAGTGAGCCCTTGTGGTCAAGGGCATGGACTCTTGAGTAAGTCTTGTTAACACTGGTCTCAGTTTGAGTGTCTGTCTCTCAAGCTGCTGGCCACGCAACCTTGGCCAAGTTAGACACTTCTCGAAACATCAGCTAGTTCACAAGCATGTTGAGAGGAGAAATTCCGATAATGGTTATAAACAGTGGTGCCTGGTGTCCGGTAAGTGCCCCATAAACGGTAGGTGTGATTAGTAGTAGCAGGACTCCGTTTCTCAGGCAAAGGATGTATAAACAAAGCAGGATAGACTGAGGCTGAAATATTCAAGGTGTCTTCTGTTCCCTTTTGTTTGTTCGACTTTCTAGCAATGGAAAGGACATCAGTGAGGCTTTTGAGAAAGAAACAGACCCAATTTTTTTTTTTTTTTTCTGTATTCAACTGGTGCCTTCTTTGTTTGGCCATGCACACACTGCCCCACAGTGAATAATAAAAATTCTATAATGTTTTCACTCAACTTCTGCCTCTTGGCAGCCATGACCAAAATCACCCTGCAGCTGTCACTTACAGCAGGAATCCCCAGCCAGGCACTTGCAGCCACCCTGCTGTGAGGGGCAGCTGCTCAAGAGTATTTCAAGCAGGAAAGTGACAGAGCCAGATGCTATCAGGAATCCCTCCATGAGTTCAGGGCATCAGGAAACAGTAAGCCTTACTCCCCAAAAGGATGGGGACTCCTGCTTCCTGCCCATGCCAGGCAACTAACCATATGATCTTCCTGAGATCGTGTTAATTACAACGGTGAAAATAGTGAAAGATAAAGGCCCAGATACTTTCCAGTGCTCGGAAACCTACAAAATTAGGAGAAAACCCCTGGAGCTCAGTCATAGAGTGCCAGGGAAAGGTGGTCTGTTATGACAGTCCCGTAAACCTTCCTTGTAGGAGTTCAGAATTTTTAAATGCAATTACATAAGAAGGGATGATAATGAATAACTTGAACATATATACGACCTTTTCAAATATATATCACACATTCTCTCTTAAAACACTGTGAATTCAATAACCTATTTGGGAAATTTAAGATCCTAGAGTTTTCCTCAAATTCTTCCTCCACTAGAACGACAAAGCTGTCCAGAAAAGCATTTGCCATCAGCTATTTAAGAAATGATAGTTTCCTGGACTGTCAACAGGTGTTACACAAAAGGTATGTGTAAACTTATCTGGGTGAAATAAAATTAAATACTGTGTATGATTCTTTATCTCCAGACACCCAGAGTTTTTAATATGCCGATGTTCCCTGCAAATAGCATAACAGTTCTTAAATAAGTTTGCTCCCGGAGTGTGTGCGTGTGTGTGGCAATTGCAGGAACATGTTTTCTCTGTAATACACTTTGGGAAATGCACCCCCAGACTGACTACAAGCAACTTGAGAACAAGGACAACATTTTATTTTTCTTCATTACTACTAGAACCTGGCACAATGGCTGGCACAAAGTATTTAATAATGTTTGTTGAATGAATTAATGAACGCCAAAGCAAGTCCCTAAATCTACTGATAAATAATTATGTAGCATAGGGGAGAAAATAGTTTCTGGTCAGTCCAAAGCAGTGGATGTTAAGACATGTTAACTGACCAAAAGTATACACAATTTTATAGTAAAATATAGGAACATTCAAAAAAGAAAAAGGAACGTGATAGGATGCAGGAAATCAGAACATAGTGAACCACATATTTAGTAAAACAGAGAAATTATTTTATTATAAGAAATTTTAGAAATGATGCTTTGCAAATGAGTTCTATAGACTTCATCATCATACTGCCTAGGCAATGGTGATAGAAATGATCTAAAGACCTGCCCTGGCCCAGGTAGGGTATCTTCTTGTTCATCCTTCTCTTACCTCACTTGAAGCACACGAGAAAGATGAAGCAGGTTCTGAGGCATGATTGGCTTGTTCATCCCTAATGAACAGTTGCCAGTGGGAGGAGAGGGAACAGTGTGAAGGAAGTACATGTCTGCACCCTGAACCCTGTTTATGCCCCTGACATACCACAGGGTCCATATCACGTACCCAACCACTGCTGGCCCTGGCTCAGCCCTTCCCTAATCCACAGGTAGCGTGAAAACCATATAGACCACTGCTTACAGGTGACGTGGATAATGAGTGGCCCCACTGAGTGGCTTCAGGTGGGATGGGAAATCCCACATCAGCTGCCGGGATGCCAATCACCACCTGTCTCCCATGGAGACTTACAGGGATGCTGGTAAGGACAGCTGTGGGGACCTGTTCACACCTGGCAGGGTAGTTGATACAAGAAGATACAATATTCACCCAAAAAGATCAGTTGGATAGTTTGAGCTGGAGAGAATGTTTTAAGTGCTTTATGTATATTTATAGTCTTAATCTTCAGACTAACTCAGTGAGGTAGGTACTATTATCATCCCCATTTTAAAGGTACAGAAACTGAGGCACAGAAAAGGAAAGTAACTATCTCAAGGTCATGTGGCTAGTAAGTTGTGGTACAATCTCTTTGGAGGGCTTTCTACAAATTTAAAAATTTTAAATGTTTATACTATTTCCAGATATCTAGCTTAGGGGAAATGTGTATAAGGAAGCATGTAAGGATGTTAATTGTAGCATTATTTTTTTTTCATTTTATTTTATTTTATTTTTTATTTCGGCATATTATGGGGGTACAGATTTTAAGGTTTCAATAAATGCCATGTAGCATTATTTTTAATAGCAAATTGGAAACAACCCCAATGCTTATCTGTAATGGCCTGGCTAATTAAAAGTTAGCATATTCATATAATGGACTATTGTAAAGAAATTCGAAGGGATGAAATATACATAACATTCATAAACAAGGAATAATCTCAGAAATATTGTTGGATGAATAAAGCAAGTTGAAGAATGATACATATTGTATGGTTCCGTTTATATAAAGCCCAACCTAAAAAAGTAATATATATTGTCTGTGTGTGGGAAGAGATATATCTTGTCAATGGGACAGGAGAGGACACCAAATCTGAGAGTGCTAGTCAATGGAGACACAAATCAGCTTTAAAATCAATGTTCTGTTCATTTTTAAGAAGAATATATATTCATGCATTACTTGTATAATTAAAAACCCATAAAAAGTAAAAAAAAAAAATCAAATGATTTCAGGAAAAATCAAACAAAACTAACAGCAAACCAAAACAAACAAACAAAAGAAACACAAAAACCCCAGAGGACTTGAGCTCAGCTTACCATTGCTGTGATTTTTAGATCTGCCTGATAAAAACATAAAGGAGATCCTTCAAGTGTTATCTTTTCACTCATTCTCTTAAAATTTTATGTTTTTATTACTATCACTCATTTTCTTAAAACTTTATATTATTATTGTTGTTGTTATTATTATTAGAGACAGAGTCTGGCTAGAGTGCAGTGGCATCATCATAGTTCACTGCAACTTCAAACTACTGGGTTCAAGTAATCCTGCTGCCTCAGCCTCCCAAGTAGCTGAAACTACAGGTGCACACCAGCAAACCTGGCTAATTGTTTTCTATTTTTAATGGAGATCAGGTCTTGCTCTTGCTTATGCTGGTCTCGAACTCCTGACCTCAGGCTATTCTCCCACCTTGGCCTCCCAGAGTGCTTGGATATATTATTTATTCTAAGAAGAATAGGCTGGCCAAGAATTTTTGGTAGACTGGAAAATTATTTGCATCTTGTGTTGAAGGCAAAGAGGGTATTATTTGCATAAAGTCAGATAATTCAGTTGCAATTTTTCAGTGTACTTTTAGATCTCTGGCAGAATATCTATAATCAAGCAAAGTCTCCTCTTCCTATGCCAACAGCTGCTGCATTTTAAGTGCTTTCTTAGGGATTCTATGTTGCCAAAAAATACAATTACTTTTCAGTTACTTCAGAAAACTTTTAAACAAACTCTAAGAAAATGTCAGAATCCGAAATAAGAATCTGCAAAGAAACTTGTTTCAATCACATCCATTTTGGCTGTGAGGTGCAAGCTTGGTGATTCCATCTTGATAGATTGTGTTTCATTTGCCTTGTAAGCACCATGTAATTTATGTCTAAGGTTGAATTCTATCAGAGGAAATCTGAGCTCTGCAGGATTTGCTGTCGGGCTGCTCTTTGTGTATGCTACCGTGTTAAGGCCTAGGATATGTCTTCTGGTCGAGTCCAGCGTTTCGTGAGACCAGCTGCACACACAGTGGTAAGGACAGTCAAGTCTCCAAATTTATCTCATACAATTGCAAAGTGACAGTGAGCATTAGAGACTTTTTTTTTTTTTTTTTGAGACAGAGTCTCACTTTGTTGCCCAGGCTAGAGTGAGTGCCATGGTGTCAGCCTAGCTCACAGCAACCTCAAACTCCTGAACTCAAGCGATCCTCCTGCCTCAGCCTCCTGAGTAGCTGGGACTACAGGCATGCGCCACCATGCCTGGCTAATTTTTTCTATGTATATTAGTTGGCCAATTAATTTCTTTCTATTTATAGTAGAGACGGGGTCTCGCCCTTGCTCAGGCTGGTTTCGAACTCCTGACCTCAAGCAATCTGTCCGCCTTGGCCTCCCAAAGTGCTAGGGTTACAGGCGTGAGCCACCACGCCTGGCCACATTAGAGACTTTCTAAAACAAATTTTAATATTTCTAAAATGAATGTAGGCTTTTGTTTTCTATGACTCTTTTAAAACTAGCACATCAGATCATTCCTGGGGACTTAGCTGATCTCTGGAAAAGAGGGGGGAACTCAGATTGAGTGCCTACTATGTGCTATTAATACTACTTCAAATTATCACAGTATCTCATTTAATACTCACAAACCTCTGCAATGTATGGGGAATTCTTCTCCCCATATCCCAAGATGGGACGCTGAGGTACTAAGAAATTTGGTCATATGACATAAGTCACACAAACAATGCATCATGTGTCAGAGCCAGAATTTGAACCCAGATCTGTCTAAATCCTAAAGTCCAGACTCCTCTCACTAAATAACAAAGAAACATTACATTGATTTGGTCAGTCCATTAAGATGGTGTTTGAGATGCTATTGAGCTATTCTGTTCAATAGAAAGTGATCAGAATAGTTTACTGACTTTCTTATTATGCACAACTCTAATTAAGGACCAGGCAAGGGAGAAAGAGAACATGACTGTTCTTGTGCCTGTGATTCTAGCAGAGTCACAAAGCTTGCACTGCAGTAGGCTGGAATTTAGGCAGCCTCCATCCCAAAGCAGAGAGTTACATTGGTATTGGGAACATGTGGCCCATTCAGGTGAAGCCGAGCTTCATTTGCCATGCTGTACCACAATGAAGTGTGATGGATTTCTCTCTGCCCCACTGGTTCTCACCATCCCCTGCCATTCCCATCAACTGCCCAGAGTGTGGGCTGCTTGATCTCCTTATCAGAGGGAAGCAAACATCAGTTCCAAAGGAAGAACACGTCCTCCTTGCCCCCTTGGAGCCACGGAAATCAATGTCAGGCACAGTCTTCAATAACAAGCCTACGGCCATACTGGCAGAACCCTAAGCTCTTATCAAGCCTAAAGCTGCTGTTTCTTGCTGGAGGAGAGACTTGAAACAGCTCAGAAGAAAGTGCAAAGGATGGTGTGCTTCATTAACTCATACCTTGTCTCTTAGTAACAACTGTGGTTCTGCTCTACCTGGAACCTAAGGGGATCCAGTTTAGCATAAAACAGAATATCCTGTCTTTTAGGAGCTTCTGGACACTTTAACATTCTGACCATCCTTTATTATTTATTTATGACATCTACTACTATGTACCCGGTACTGTTTTAGGTACTTACTAGATATTCAATGATGAAATAAAAACAATGTATAACCACTAAAAGATATTCATGAAAATAATCAAAGTTATACAAATTCGAGTATACATTACAACTGCAGCTATGTAAAATATGTGTGCACTAAGCTGAAGAATGCAATAGCCGGTGCACAATTGAAAATAATTATATTGGTATCCAGTATGACAGCTAACTTCTTTCATTGTTTCAACATTTTCTTTAATGTTGGTTTTAGATTTTTATAATTTAAAGAAAGCAAAAAGAAAAAAAGAAAGTAATGAAATTAGTATTTAGAGGTAACTTGTTTGAGTTGTATTTTTTGTGGGCCTCTGATCCTTTGATGTAGTTGGGGTGGGGTTTTTTTCTGATTTTAATTAAAAACTTAGTTTTCTTGGGTATTGAAACTCAGTGTCATTTGGGATAAGAGTTGGGGATGGTTGTGGTAATAAATCTTTAAAGAAGTGAAAAATCTAGCTTCTGAAAGAAGCATCTACTCATTCTTGATGTTCATTCATTCTATTGTCAAATTCTAGTTTCCAATGATGTGTGGAGAGAAAAGAAGTAGGCACTACAACCAAGAATTACAAAATCGGGCTACATGTTGGACTATGTTCTCATATACTGTTATCCAGATGAATTTATTATTTAAGACATTGTTTTAGAAGCTGTCACATGTTGCCCAAAATTTACTCCAATATATCGTTTCATAAGAGCCTTTATGCACATGTTGGTTTTACTCTTGAACCAGTCAAACATTATTTGAACATTATTGGCAAATAGATGATGATAAATTATTACATTGACATTTTGTACTTTCTCTCCTTCACCACTGTCTTTTCACCTCTGTGAACAGAAGCAGACATGGTGTCATCCCTGAGCTGACCAGGCTAAGTGTCATCACATCCAGGTTGTTGGTGTTTTGTTTTGTTTTTTGTCATTAAATTTAGCAGTCCCCAACCTTTTTGGCACCAGGGACTGTTTTCATGGAAGACAATTTTTCCATGGACAGGGGAAGTGGGAGATGGTTTGGGGATGATTTAAGCATGTTACATTTATTGTGCACTTTATTTCTATTATTATTATATTATAATATATAATAAAATAATTATACAACTCATCATATGTTGGGGACCCGTGATTGAATTATCAAGTAAAAGTCTCAACATACTGAGTCTTGTTTATATATTGTGTATTAAAGAAAAAATTACGTACACTGTCACCACCAACTGATTGGACCAGTTTCTCATTATGAATTTGCAACATTTTCTGATTATCAAATGCCTTCAAACATTACATAAATAATTTCCAATTGAGTAGGTCTTCAGGAACTTTTATGTAGTACTAAACATTACTTGTAACGATTTTTTTTTCTTTTTTAAATATGTAGAAATTTTTGTACTACCCCTGAAAATGATCTGATGGTTCACTTTAATGTATCTAGAAAGAATTCAGTCTCATACCGTGGCTAAAAAAATAAATAAAATGCACAAAATAAGAAGCATTTCCATGAGTAATTTCACACATGCTGGTAAGTGCTGCAGAGTATTGCCAAGACTAGCCTTTAATCTCTATGGGAAACCAGAACAGCTGTAAACTCTTACTTGCTGTCAAATGTCTTTTGCAAGGTTATTAGAAAAGATAGGAGGCTAGCAATCCTCCCATGTTACCTTTATTTGTTGACGGGCTTTTATTATCATCACCACTTTAGATCTGTGGATAGCTCAACATGTGCCTATTTCACCAGCCTCAGGCAAAATTATGAAGTAGGACTCATGAGACTTTGGTGTTTTCCCTACTCTCCCTCCTGGGCACTCACCAGTTCCTGCTATCTGCCCAAACCTTAAGACTGTATTCTTAGCCAAATGTAGATCAGTGTAGTCCACTAGCCCATGCTCATGGATCGCCATGTTTTGTCTCTCAGGTAAGAATCTCACGTGATAAAATGGGCCTGAGAGAGTAAAGTTTGGCTGTTGGGGGACTCCGACTTACTGAAGTGGCCCGCCTCCTGGGGTGGGGAAGCACACTTGTAGATCTTCAGCGGGCCCCAAATCTGCTCCAGCCTGTTTCCCTGCGGGACTCAACAAATATGCTTTGGAGTATTACTGGACTCCCTTGCCCTCACTTCTGTCACCCTGAGCCCAAACTCAAACTGCTGTGTGGTTTCCCAGCTTTAATGCTCCCCTCCTAGTGCTGGAAACAGCTCCTGAAGCCCTTTAAAACTTGTGAGAAATAATAAATTCCAAGTTCACTATGTGAGGAGGGTAGGGTGGGTGGGGTCAGTGGCGTGCTCAGCCTGAGAACTGATAGTTAAATTTTCAGGAATTTTGTGAGCTAACTGGCATCACCTTAATAGCTTGCAATCAGCCACAGGTGGGAGGATTTCCACCATGAACTGGCAAATGCTACACAAATGAACCGTCCTTCAACCCCCGCCTGTGTGGGAAGAGCCAGGATTGGCATGAATGAGCAGTGGTGTTCCCACCCTCACCCCACGCCGTAAGCTCACTGTGTCCAGCTGCCCTGCATCTGTGTTGCTCGTGCTCAGATCTCCCTTACTTGGCACATGCTAGGCATTCATTACGTATTTGTCGAATGAATGAACAAATGAGTGAGTTTGAGATAAAAGAGATTTTGTACACAGTTATGTACAGGTTGTTCTGGTCTTTGCTGAAATATCAAGAAGTCTAGGCCTATTCCCTCCTGGCCCCTATTTGACTACCTGTTTCCAAGTCCTCATGGTTAACTTCCTTCTCATCTGCTAATTCTATCACTCTTTTCTTCCTGGAACTGGAGTTCACCATTTGCTTCACTGCCTACCTCACCCATTTCTTTCTGTCACTCGGGTTCATGGGCACCCTACAGAATATATTTCTAATAAAGTTAGGAAGAAAGAATGAAAGAATACCAACTTTTCAGAAAACCTGGCATCTAGTCTCAGTTCAGCCACTGTGTGACGTCAAAGAGCACGCAGGCTCTCGGCTCTCGGCTCTTTAGTGCTTTCGTGTGTACATGAGAATGTTATTAGTGCTATGCTCGCCTCAGTGCGCTCATAAGGATCCAAGGAGTTGATGGCCATGGCTTTGTAAACTGCAGAGTGCTCCATAAATGTAAGTTATTATGATATTTGTAGCCAGATACAACGAAATAATCATTGACTTCAGAGATAGCAAGTGTTATATTTGATATCCACCTCTATGACCTTAACCAAAACTTTTTAATTTTCCTAAGCCTCTGTTTCTTCATCCATAAAATGGGAATAATAACACGTAACACTCAAGAGTTACTGTGAGAGTTCAGTGAGACAATGTAAACAAAGGGCCTGACTGGCACAGTTTCCTAATAGCCTCTTCCCTTTTCTGATTTCCCAGGGCAAATGTGTCTGGGATGATAATATCATCAATGTTCTTAGTCCATCCTTAAGTTTCCCCTGTTCTCAAGAAAGAACCCTCTATATCTTGTTGGTTAAGATCACAGGCCAGATCATCCGGCTTTGAATCCTGGCTCAGCCACTTGCTAACTCTGTGATCGTGAGCAAGTCACTTAACTTCTCTTGACTTCTGATACCTTTTATCCACAATAGCACCTACCTGAGGTGACCAACTATCCCAGTTTGCCTGGGCTGTAGGACTTTCAGGTCTGTAAGGAGGATGAAAGAAGTTATGTACAGTGCAGTGCATAGAACACCACATGCGGTTAGTAAATATCATGTAGGTCTCAATCATCACTATTATTTCTCCAAAAAATGTTCCTTTAGTCCAAAGATGGAAGCATGGATTTAAGGCGACAGATACAACCCATGGTAGAGACAGTGAGGCCTCCTCAGAAGCACTTACCAAGTGCAGACGTAGCTGTCTACCCAGGGCCTGCTGCTGACAACGTTTTGAATCATCCTCGGCTTCACAGGGTCATAGGCAGAGGGGAGTCACCTCAACTATTGTCACTGTCTGCAACTGTGACTGTCCTTCTGCTCATTTGAACCTGCTTCTTAAAGAGAAGAGAGAGGTTAGAGAAGAAAGTGAAACAACTACCTGGCTGTCTGATGCTTCTTAGGAGGACTGACCAAGCCCTAGGTGGGAGGGGAGGTGAAGCCAGGGCTGGGCTCAGCTCTCTGCCTTCCCTACCCTGCCTCTGAACGGGCTCCAAGGGGGGCCTGGAGTGCATTTCTGATGCTGTACACTGAACATGATTGTGGAGTCTTGACACATTAATTCTGTGCTTTTCCCTGGGTCTGAAGTCACACTGTCTTGGATCCATTCCTACACCTGCCTCTACTATAGGTGGGTGACCTTGGACAAGTTATTTAACTTCTTGGTTCCTTCATCTGTGAAACAGGGACAGTAATAATAGGACCAATGCCATGAAAGCCTTGTATTAAATGAGATGATCCATGTAATGAACTTTTCTCAGAGCCCGGCCTGGCACATGGTGAACTTCCAGTAGTTATTTTAAATATATGTATATATCTCATATATAGATGATAGCTACATAGGAGCCGAGGGGAAATGATGACTCTGTGATGTTGTTTTGTTTAGTATGCCTACATTTCCAAATACTAAAATCTTCTTTTCAGATAACTAAACTTACATATAAAATTTATCCACTTGTGTTTAACATTCCTCTGAAATCAGAATATTAAAATTATGACAATATTTTTCTGGGCCTAATGTTAAAATGGAGGTCCTGTGTGGCTTCAATGCTTTGTTAAGAGTTTGTTTGCTTATTGTCAATAACCAATAGGAATTTAAAATCTGGGCTTTCAAAAACTGGTTCCAGAAATTAGGTTTTAGTGTGTCATCAGTTCCCTCAGAAAGAATGCCAGAAATGAACATCAAACAATAAAGTTATATCTTGCATGTTTAATTGCTTACATGTTTACCAAAATTGCTCTTTTTATACTGATAAAATCCCTGATCCTCTCTTGTATCAGTGTTTCAGAAGCAGTTTTAATTGTGACAAGGAAGTCAAACAATGTCTTAAATTCCTGGTTCTATTTTCCCTACCTTTGTGCTCTTCTGGATTTGATTCCTTTGTATTCTCTAGTGCTTTCCCATGCAGACGATCTTAATGTTTGGAAGCACGACACAAGGCAGGGCTTTTGCCTTTAGACATGCAGGAGCTGGCAACATTTCCTGTGCGCTTCCTCTCTCATTTTCTCCAAACATAATGACAGGACCGTCTAAGGGTCTTCCTTAAAAGCTTTGGGGCCAAAATCATACCACTAAGAATAGCCCTATGAAATCACTATTTTACAAAATCTGGTTCCTCTATAACAGACCTTCAGGTCATATTGGGGGGGATGATTCACAAAGGGAAGGAATCTTCTGGCCTTATGAAACCATAATATTCCCAGAGTTCATTGATGTGTGCAGTGTGAATTCTACGTTTCAGCATATATAGCCTAAAAAGAAAACAAAATTAATTGTATATTATGACCCATGCCAAACTGTAACCTCTAAGTAAAAGGTGATTTTAATGATCATTCCCATTTCTGCTAGGTCTCTGAATTTTTTCTAACCTTACAGACACTCAACTGGCTGCTTGAAGGTCAAAGAATGTCCATCTCTGAATTTTAGGGCATATAAGTTTTAAAAAAGTGGACCCATTCATCCAACTTTAGGCCAAAAATCTATATATGTCACCCTATGGAAATTATTTTATTACCCTCATTTTTAAAATGGAGGGTGCCCCAGATCAATTAATTAATAATCTCTTGGTGGTGGGGCCTGGATATGGATATTATTTCCAAAACTGTCCATGTGATTCTAATGTGCAACCAGTGGGAAGAACTACTACCCTATGATAGAGAAAAATTGGGGATAGTTTGGGTGCAGGGTTTGGGCACTTCTGCAGTATCTGGGCATATCTGTGTCTCCTAGCACTGAACTCCTACTCTCATCCTCTACTAGTATGTGACGGAAGTTCTCACGACTGCCGTTCCTCCCACCCTTCCACACTAAGACTTTGTAGAACTTTTATTAAGTAGGAGTTTGTGAAAGGTATTTATGAAGTGCCGATGACAATAGGCTCTCTTCTGCTCTTACCACACCCCTCCCTGCCCTGGCTATGGACATCTGCCTTATTGCAAGATATGAAAAAATGCAAAAAAATGTTGAGCTCACTCAGAGAGGAGTAAAATTATTCAAATTACAGTATAGTGGGTCTGAATCTGCCCTTTTTTCTGGCCCTGCTACCCTGCTCTTGTCAGCCACAGAAACACTTCTCCGTGACACGCTTAGAACTAAGAAGGAACTGCAGGTCTCACACAGGAAGGAGCAAACACGTCCACCACAGACCACAAAAAGCATGGTTGGCTGCTTCCTGGACCAAACCCGGAAACCAGAAGTGCGGCTTGCACCGGGAATGGTGGAAAAGCTTGTATCTCTTCCCTCTGTCATGCATTTTATACTCTACTAGCAGAATATATATATATATATATATATATTTTTTTTTTTGAAAAATGATGTTGCCATCCCATGCCCTTGATCAGAATGTTCCAGTGGAACTGTTAGTTGCAGATAAAGTGCAGACTCCACAGTCCACCGCTAAATGGCCTCACTCCTTGGGCCCACAGTTGCTCGTTCTAGCCTCATTTCCCCTGCATTTATCTGCACTACTGCTTGCTGTTCCCCAGGCAGTTCCTCTTTTTCCCACCCCACTTCCTTCCCTGTGCCTTATCCCCGGAACACCCTCTCTCCAAAACTCACTTCTCTTTCTGGCCCTGCTCTCCCTGACCACCTCGGCATGACATGGCCTTTTCCTTTCCTGGAAGATCAAGGCTGTGTTCCTACCAGACTGAGCATGGGCTTCAGACTCAGACAGGTCCACTTTAAAATTCCATGACCTTCAGCAAGTTCCTTCATTTTTTTTAATCTAAAAAAAAAAAAGAATGATAATAATACTCCTGGGGGAGGAGTGCTGTTAAGAATTATATGAGATCACATGTGAATGCACTTAGATGATCAATACATATTTCCCTTCCCTTCACTACTCAAATAGCTTTGCTTTGCATTGTGGGTTTTTGAGAGCACATCTTGCCGTCTCTTTATAAAGTATAGGGTCCTTGAAATCAAGAACCTTTTCTTAAACTTATTTGAATATTCTCTAACACTAAGAAGAGTGCCCTGCATGTAGAAAGTACTCTATAAATATTTTTAAAGGCTGAAAAATAAATAAACAAATTTCCGGACTCTATTGGATAAAAGATAATGGCATGAAAGGGAATCCGAAGGGGAGAGCCAGTTCAATTAAAATATATGGCCTTAACAGAATGTTATAAAAATTAACATGAATGATAATTATGGAAAATGCATTAAATAACTTATCCAGTCATATCCTAGCCCATTTAGGCTTCCTGGGCACAGACATGAGGATTTTAACTTCACAAAAAATTGTTGAGTGTTCCATACGACAGCAGAAGAGGTACTCAGGATCACACAAAAATAAATTCATTGACATTTGATGTCCTTACACTTGCAATGTAAAGAATAAAACAGGCTCTTGTAGTTTCCTTTTTTAAAACTTCCCTTTAATAAACTACCCACCACTGTGTAGTCCAGATGGCTGTTTGGTATATCAATGTAAAAGAATGCTTTAAATTCCACGAAAATAGGGAGGAAGCACACAAAAGGGATGCTTCGTGGACAATCCAGGCAGAGATAATGCCTCTGTCACAATAGGAACAACAAAAAAATTTTTCTCTTAAAAATTCTGTATATAGAAAGGGTTATTGCTTCATTATGAGGTGAACTGTTTGACAAAGAGATGATGCCAGGGAGTTTCTATTCCTTAGGAGGAGAAATCTTTGTCCTCTCTCAAGAGAGGAAGAAAAGAGAACTAGATGTGATTCTTTTGAGTGTTCACTGCCAACGCTGCTAAAAAAAGTGCTTGTTGTCTTATTAGATGACACAAGAGCAGATTGAGTTTTATATTGCAAGGTAGGAATGAACCACTTATTGATGTTTAAGATCCATCAAGACTTGCAGGTAAATTGAGACTCTTGACGGATGACCTTGAAACAAAACAGTGCAATAGGATATTTCTCTACCACAGGAGAAAAAGACATTTTTGACAGCTGAGAAATAGTGACCAGTTCTTGAAGTCATTTTTTTTTTTCTTCTTAGAGGAATTTGAAATATAAGACTTAGGACAAAGGTCACGTCTTTGCTAGGCTCTTTCAGAGCTTAAGGTAATATCAAGATCCTACAGACAAACAATGACTTATAGTCATTCAGTTTTTAAGAAAAAATATGTGATATGATTTAGTGAGAATTAAATTTAGAGCATGGTTTAACAAATGTCTCATAATTTCACAAGGAAATATAATTATTCAGTTTGGACCTTCATTGCCATATCTAATACTGATGGAAAAATACAGGTTAACATAAAAATTATTAATAGTTGATACAAATGCATGATAATAGTATCATAGTTATTTTCCCAGCTAGTACTCTTTTGGGTAATAAGTATGACTGAAATTAAACAATGCTGCATTTTATTAGCACCTTCAGGATGCCTGGATTATTCTTTCAGGCCTCATAAAGCCATTTTGAGAGAGGGAAAAACTCTTTTCCTATTAATAGCATGATATTATATAGCTAGTGGATAATCAATTATATACAATTTTTTTCTAATAGGTTAGATTTATAGGAAGAAGGAAATTTGAAGAAAAACAAAAGAATAACTTTCTAGGACCTATCACTCACACCAAGACACAAAACACTTAACAAGAATCAAGTTATAAACATTAATGTTATTATTATCCTTCCTCACTAAATAGGAATATTAATGCTAGAAATCTTCTCTAGTTTCTTTCTACCCTAAGTCTGACTATGAAACATAAATGAAGAAAAATATCTTACAATTAGTTATTTTACTATCTTACTGGAAGACACCATATCTGAAATGGATACCTTCTGCAGCATAAGCCATGCTTCTGAACTTTTTGTTGTCTCATGATGTGCAAACAGAGCAGACTTAGTGAAAAGACAGAGAATGCAAAAATGGGAATTCGTATTTTAATGTGTTCTTTTTCATATTTTTCTTCAATCATATATCCTGTCATTTTGAGCCATATTGTTTCCATAATCAATAATAATGTAGGAAGAAGGATTTTAAAAAAATGTTATACCCACAACTGATCAAAATGTATTAGTCTTTGTCTCACCCTAATTATCCTAAATCAACACCTTTATCTGGAAATTTTCATTTCTTTATTTTTTCCTTTTTAATCTCCCAGGTACTCTCTAATTGCTTCCATATTGTAAAGAATGTGACTATTGTCATGACAACTAAGAGGAAACTTTGCCACCAGAAGTTATTGAAAATACAATGAAATACTTACTGTTGGGCTTTCTAGTGTTGGCTGAGATTATAAAAATGTGCTTTGTGCCTCCCACTTCAATCTAGATCAAAGTATTTTGGACTAATTTGTCTGCTTACATCAGGAAAAAAGTGTTTGCTTTTAATCTTTGTGTGGGTTTAGTTGAATATACTTTAGTTATAGTAATGGTACATTGAAAGAAAGCAATAAAGCCTAATTACTTTTCATCGATGGGGAAGGTACTGAACCTTCAAGGGATAAGCATGCAGTCTGGCTTAAAGGATATTGCAACTTCAAAAACACATACCAATATTTTAAAAAATGTGCAAGGCTAAACTACAGGATCTAGGTTTGCACCCTTGAGTGATAAAACTATAATGCACGGCAGGTAGGAGGTCATTAGAAAGATCAGGTGAGTGGTTGCTTTGCTGGGGTGGGAATGGCTGTGGTTGAGACAGTTCATGTGGAGAAGCTTTTGAGGTGACCCAGGAGGTGGTTAAAAGGGTGTTTGTCTTATAATGAATCGTTAAGCTATGCATTCATCTAGCCTCCTCCATTTGCATAAAGTGTTTTGAGAAATGGTAAGGCTATGCAGCTTCAGATTCTGAGCATAACTGTGTAGGCTATTTATAATCTGGAGGAGGTTTCTTAAGCAATACCTCTGCCTTTGCATGTCTCCATATTGCAGAGAAGGTTAGAGATCAAAGAGAAAGATCAAGAAGAAATGCCATAAAGGGAAGGAAAAAAAAACATTTGAAAGTAAAATTTTAATTTAAAATTGTCTTTAAATTATTATTAGAATATGTGATGTAATATGATTCTTTTTCCAAATAGATACATGCTGAAGTATTTATAAATGAAATGGTGTCATGTCTGAGATTTGTTTCAAAATAATCCAGTGGGGGTATATATACAATAGAATACTATTCGGCTTTAAAAAAGAAGGAACATGGATTTTGCAACATGGATAGACTTGGACGATGTTATGTTAAGTGAAATAATCCAGGCACAGAAAGATAAATACCACATGATCTCACTTATATGTGGAACCTTAAAAAGTTGAACTCAGAAGTAGAGATGAGAATGATGACTACCAGGGTCTGGGGGTGTGGTGGGGATTAGAGAGATGTTGGTCAAAGTATACAAAAAAAAAAATAATTGGGGTTATAGTTGAAACCACAGTGCACATATGTTGGTAGTTGTTGAGGCTGTGTGATACACAGGAGTTCATTATGTGAAGCTCTCTACTTTTGTATACATTTGAACACATCTAAAGTTTTCAAAGTAAAATAAATTCTAAAGTATACTGTATTTTAAAAATTGCCTTAGGATACTATAGTCCACATGGGGTTTTGTGGCATTCCAATAAATTTTATATGCCTGAATATGACTATTTGTGAAAATTCTAACAGAACTGTCTTGGAGATTAGTCCTTCATATGGAACTAGTTCAATTGCATATTAATGGCTTAATATTATTACAATCAAATAGTCCTAAAACTGAAATAAAACAAATCTAGGTAGATGAGCACGTGGGTGTGTTTGCAGTTTCTGGCAATCAGAGAATCTCTGCATTACTTAACTCAGAAATGTGGATGGAGAGAAAGGAGACATGAGCAAAGTAGATTGCACAGTCAAAATAGAGTAGAGGATTGAGTTAATTCCTTAGATAATTAACAGGGGAAAATACAAGAGGATAGCGTTGTTTCTGAAGAAGTATTGTAATTTTTGCTTCTTTTCTTCTCAAGATATGTCTGTACTATGGAAAGTGAAGTAGTTTGCTTACTCTCACATATCATATTATTTCACATAAAATGTTAAAGCTACATACACATGTACTAGAACTGACAATCTTATATTCTTTCTGTTAAAATTTTGTTCATTCTCGAGCTAACAATTCCTCAATGTAAGAACATATCTATCATCTATCTCTACACAGTGTGTGTATTGTGGGTATGTATAAAATATTTTCTCCTGAACAATTTGAGAGTTGTATGTTTACATCATGCTTTTTACTTTTAAATACTTTATTGTATATCTCATAAAATTAAAGTTGCTTTTATATACATAACAATAATATAATGATTGACTTCAGTAAATACAACAATGAAAAAGTACTTTTACCTAGTCCATTATCCATATGTCAATTTTGTCCATTAACACAATAACATCTTTATAGCATTTTTTCTTCCATTGTGGGGTTCATTCTAGGATCAAATATTGCATTTAGTTATCAACCTTTTATTGGAATATCTCCACAGGGCTTCTTTGTCTTCCTTGATATTGGTATTTTTGAAGTATGCAAAATACACAACATTCCTCATTTGGAATTTTTCGCTATCTCCTCATGATTTATTTCAAGTTACACACAACTGGCTGGAATACCACATAAGAATGATGTATCTTTTTCAATGTATCATATCTAGAAGCAAATAGTGTCTATTTGCCCATCATTAGTAATGTTAACTTTGATGACACGGTGAAAGTATTGTATTATTTGTTTGCTCATAGTTATTATGTTTTCCCTTGTGACTAATAAGCAACCTGGGGATTGGTGGAAGAAAATCCTGCTACCCATCAACATTTCCTCTATATTTAGCATTCATTGGTTAGTACAGGATTTGAGGGGTAAAAGATTTGTTTTCAGTATTCACCCATTGCATCCCCCAACCAAGACTGAAGGTATATAATCAAATACTGTATTTATAAATCACTTGGATTAGTTCTTCCCCCCCTGCTTTGTGCAGTTATGGTATACATTTGAAATACAATTGTGTTTGCTTGTTGCAGTTTGTTTTTGTTTTAGGTTTCCCCCCTTCTCATCCTGGTTGATTTAACTTAATTTTTAATTTGTAGAACATTAATATGCTTCCAAAAGTCAAACTATGGAAAAAGGCAGGAAAAGAAGTGAAACTCCCTTCTGTATCCCTTCCACCCAATTCCCTGATCCCATTGCAGGTGATCAATTTCATTGCCTTCACGGCCTTGGCAATCACTAAACCATGTGACCTTTCTGGGCCCTTATTTCCTTATGGAGTCATGAGAATTTGGAAAATATGTGCAGTTTGTTTGGTACAGTCCTTGACATATACTAGGATATCAATAAATGGTGAAAAGAATCATTGTTATAATAATAGTGGCTACCAATAACAGCACAAAATCTTTTATGATTAAGGAAGAGGCCTTTTTCTTATGTCACGTGTGGAACTTGGACAGAAAAGGACACAGAAGAGGAGCCAAATGGGACCAGCTCAAGGCTTCACCAATCCTTTGGTGAAGGATTTGGGAATTAGGGTCAGACCATACCATACAATATTTGTATGTCCAATGATCTATTTATGGGATCCTGCCTATTCATTCCCCAGTGTGGATTCGGGCTCTTTCCATTGTTACTACAAAAGTTTGGCATTAAAACTGTCCCCTAAGATTTTGAACATGAATACTGAAAGGAGCGAACCAGTAGACGCATCTGATAACCAACCACAGCCACACTTTGGCCCAGCATGGCTAAAGCCAGGGAGCAGCTTCCCTACCCCAAAGCCTGTCCTGTGCCTGGGTCACATGGTAAATGACCATTTGACATACCACAGAAATGTGTATACTCCTGTGTTTTGTTTTTTTTCTCTTTACCTCGTAGGGGTATTGTTGCAGCAGCTTTTCCAATGGAAAAAAAGTCTACATTTAGATGTCGATATTTTAGGTGGGTCATGAAATTAAATTTTTCTTCAGGAGTGAGCATATGTTGATAGTGCACGGCAGAGCTCTGTGTGCGTGCGTGTAGTTGGGAAGAAGGGAAAGAGGCCTTCTGTCTTTTAAATGCATATTCATGGGGAAACTCATAAAGTTACTTGAGAAAAGTTTCATTTATATATTTGATTCTTGATAATTAAAGCAAATCACGTGAAAGGGAGCCATTAGCTTCATAGTTTTTTTGTTTTTGAGACAGAGTCTCGCTTTGTTGCCCAGGCTAGAGTGAGTGCCATGGTGTCAGCCTAGCTCACAGCAACCTCAAACTCCTGGGCTCAAGCGATCCTCCTGCCTCAGCCTCCTGAGTAGCTAGGACTACAGGCATGCGCCACCATGCCTGGCTAATTTTTTCTATATATATTTTAGTTGGCCAATTAATTTCTTTCTGTTTTTAGTAGAGATGGGGTCTCGCTCTTGCTCAGGCTGGTTTTGAACTCCTGACCTCGAGAAATCCACCTGCCCCAGCCTCCCAGAGTGCTAGGATTACAGGCGTGAGCCACCGCACCCGGCCGGCTTCATAGTTTTGTTTATAGTTTAATGCTACTAACACATAGCAACTAATGTGTTTAATGTATTGTTTAGCATTTATTTTCTGGTTGTTTTATTTTAGGGTCAAGAGATGTAATTTATTTTAATTGAAAATTATGTCAAGGATTAAATAATGATTTCCCTTTCTTAGGCTTTCAATTTTTCTTTGGTATATTTGATATTTGCCATTAACTGCACTGACAGTATTTTATTAAATATTTTTTCAGTCTTAAACTGGTTTATATAATGGCAATTCATGCTCCTAGTTAAAAAACTCAAAGAATATGGAAGTGCATAAACTGAAAAGCATAAATATCTCTCACCACAGTCTCACTCCTAAAGGTCATCACTGTTCACAATCTCTTGTGTATCCTTCCAAAAATAATTATATGTAGGCATTTGCCTTTTATATAAGCATATCAAATTATGCATATAATGCCATTATATAAGTAGAATTTTTCATTTAATACTTATCTTGAATATCTTCCCATATCTGTGAGATATATATATATATATATCCTAATTATTCATGTGATTCCCATAAAATTTTTAAATACATTTGTGTGTATATGTGTGTTATTTTAACAGCTGATTTGTATTCCATTGCATTGGAATTATAATTTTTAGTGCTTGATTTATGAGCATTTAAGATAGTTTGAGGGGTATTTTTGCAAGATTACTTTTAATAAAAATGCTTGACACCAATTAAATTGTCTATCCTATTATTATTGAATAATGGACATCAACTGACCAGAGGAGAGACTTGAAATTCACCAATAACCAACCCATTCCACCTCCTTTCCCAACCATGATTCATATTCTGCTTCTCTAGCAGTGTTCTGGAACCAGTTAACCAAGGCAAGTAAAATATACTTACTTTATCATTTCTGGGTGAGAATTTTCTAAGATTAAGAAAAGTTGATTATTTTGATGATCAATTGTACAGTTTGTTTTTGATGACAAGAAATGCTTATCAGAAAGACCATGGATCAGTAAGATCTCAATATAGCTCATGTGCATTGCCTAATTGTTTATGTGATTCCACTAAGAAATGCAATAGCTGCAAGATAATTCAAAGTGAAAAAAAGGATTCAAAAATTTTCCTACAAAATGTGCAAAGTGCTTCCCACTTATTCCATTTATTTTTATGGAGTTTTTATTGTTGTTTGGGCATGTAATAAATTTTTGAGAAAATTGTAATTGTATTCTTACCTATTAATGAGAAAAAACAGAAAAAAGGTTTCTGTTTTTTGGGTGGCACATCCCATTTTGTGGTACCTAGCAATATTAAGCTAAGAATGAATGTAAATGATTTTAAATTTCTGAGCTTTCCCCCTTTTCTTTCATTTACTTAATTCTATGAATAGTCCCCTTTTCATTTTTTTTTCAATTTCAGAATATTACAGGGTATAAACATTTTATTTACATAAATTGCTTTTGTACAGTTTGAGTCAAAGTTATAAGTGTGTCCATTGCCCAGATAATGTGCATTGTACCTGTTACATGTGAATTTACCCATACCCTCCCCCCTACCTACTTGATTTCCCTTGAGTTTTACTTCCATATGTGCACCTGAGTGTTGCTCTATTTGTTCCAATTTAGCAGTGAGTACATGTGGTGTTTGTTTTTCCATTCTTGTGATACTTTACTTAGAAGGACGGTCTTCAGTTCCATCTAGGTTGTTACGAAAGGTATTAGTTCACCTTTTTTTTATGGCTGAGTATACTCCATGGTATGCATATACCACATTTTATTAATCCACTCATGTCTTCATGGGCACTTGGGTTGTTTCCACATCTTTGGGATTGTGAATTGTGCTGCTATAAACATTCGGTGCAGGTGTCTTTTTTTATAAAATATCTTTTTTTTTTTCCTTTGGGTAAATATCCAGTAGTGGGATTGCTAGATCAAATGGTAGGTCTACTTTTAGTTCTTTGAGGTATCTCCATACTACTTTCCATAGAGGTTTTACTCATTTGCAGTAAACAACAGTGTATGCGTTCCTATCTCTCTGCATCCATGCCAGCATCTGTTGTTTTGGGACTTTTTGATAATAGCCATTCTCCCGGGAGTTAGGTGATATCTCACTGTGGTTTTGATTTGCATTTCCCTGATGATTAAAGATGTTGAGCATTTTTTCATATTTTTATTGGCCATTAGTCTATGTTCTTTTGAAAAGCTTCTGTTCATGTCTTTTGCTCACTTTTTAATGGGGTTGTTTTGATGTTTTCTTGCTGATTTGCTTGAGTTCTTTGTAGATTCTGGTTATCAGCCCTTTATCAGATGCAAACATTTTCTCCCACTCTGCAGGCTGTCTATTTGTTCTATTGACTGTTTCCTGTTTTTCATATTTTTATTGTCTCTTTATTTCTATGATATCACTATTGCAGATATCCTATGATACACTGGATCTTAAAATATGTTACATGAACCACCTTCATTCTTTTTAGCAATTATTATTCTTATCTTTACCTTTTCTGTAATATAAATTATTCCTAATACAGGATATTCCTATGCTTCTTAGAATGGGCCCAGCTATTTTACATGGATTGGTCAGGCATTCTTCAGCCACTTCTCTATTTACTACCAGCTCTGAAATTTGCATTGCCTTCTGTTTCTTAACTATTCCTCTAATTCTGTAGCAGTATGTAAAAGTCCTTACACTGTGAATAAAATATGCTAACAAAACAAAAACCAATATTTTATTTAGATTGATTATAAATTTTTCAGGGTGTTTTCTTCTTTGTGTTCCTATTTCCTTAGGATAGTGCCTGGTGTTTGGTAGGCAGTCAATACTTGCTTATCAGGGGGCTATTGCTTTTTGGATGAATCTAAACTGCCATAAGTATAACTGCAAAATTATGGTTGAATATGGATGATATCAATAAAGAATACAGAAAAATAATAGTTGATGTGTTAGGTGTGGGAGCAGTATACTTTGCTGCTATTTTTGTCTTTTGGTATTGTTACACTGCTGGTTGAAAAATAAAAAGTTCTGCTAGAGCTTATCTGTTACAGGTCTGTGGCTATCAATGACTGAATTCAGCATCCTCTCTCACCAGTGGCAGATCACATTGAGCCCTTCTTCTGACTCATTCCCAACATATTTTCTTTTTTTGAGACAGTAAAATTGTACTGAATTAATGAACATTCAGATCAAAGATAAGGACAATGATGAAAATAAAAGCCAACATAACATATTCACCCATGGGCCAAGCATAGTAGTTAGCACCTTGCTTATATTATTTCATCGAATCCTCCTGACAACATTAGGAGGTAGGATTATTATTTTCTCTATTTCAGAGGTGAGGAAGGACAGACTGCAAGAGGTTACATAAGCTATTCGGGAACACACAGTGCCTTGGATCTGTCTCCAAAGTCCCTGCTAGTAACTGAAACAGAGCCTGTGATAAGAGTTCAGGACTGAGTGCTAGTAGACACATATCCTTGCTCTACCAGGGACTAATGGGCTGACTATTATTTTTTGTTTAAGGGTGGTGACCGTAGCCTCTGCTTTGTGTACCCAAGATTCAGACGCATCAGAATATAGCTGAAGAGCAAAAAGGGTGGACCTAACGGGGAAATTACTTATGAAAAAGACCAAGATACTGGCTGGGGAAATAAAAAAATAAGAAAACAACAACAAAAACAACAACAAAAAACTACATCTCATGTTCAGGAATGAGAGAGTGAACACTACAGATTTGCTATAAAGCTAATTACTCAGGATCCGAGAAAGGTCTGTTCAGATTCACAACAGTTCCTGAGTCCAAGGCTAATGGCGTTAGGAGCAAGGAATGAAGTGCTCTTTCGCACCGTTTCTCCGAGACATTGGGAACACTGCTTTCTGAGCCACATGCGGACCAACGAATAGAGTCTGGGAAAAGGAATCCTTCACACTGCAGCCTCAAGAGCCTTGGTCTTGGTTGCAGGAAGCCACAGCAAAAAGTAAAAAAAAAAAAAAAAAAAAATTAGTTGAAGTCAAAGGGTGACTGAGATGACTTTGTTCATGAGTTCATGTGAGACAGGCCTGGTCTTCACCCTAGGGTGGCTCCCATTACTCAGAACTACCTTTTTCCCCTCCCCAATCTTCTGACTGCTTCCCTCAGGCATGCCACACAGGGTAAGGGGCAACTCTACCAGAATTCACTATACCCAAGGGACAGCCACATTTTATTGTTTTCGTTATTAAATATTATTGTTCCAAGAGATGGTGAACTCTTCAAGGGCGAGGACCATATTATTTTTTTGCATGCTGGTACGGCTTAGTACAATGCTTAGCACATAGAGCAAGAGGGTGGTAACTCTTCTTTAACCTGATTGTGACGTTAGTTTGCTTCTTACTGTTAGTAACTCAAACTATAAAGTTGCAAAAAAGGTGTAAATGAAAAAAAAACAAAAAACAAAAAACAAAAACCCTCCTTCCTGGCTATCACCAAGGGCAACATTGCTTGGAAAAGATTGAAGCATTTTATATCTCTACTAACCACTTTCCTGGGAAGCAAAGCCAAGACTGTAATGCTGATTAACAATGTTAATGTTCTTCTGTAGGCGGACAGGCAACTCTGAGGCTTGCTTCTCACCTTCCCCCTCTTCCTTAGATAGAAAGACTTAACTCCTCTAGTTTTCAGACATAGAGAGGGAGAGGTGGGGGGAGGGGGGAAGAGGGAGAAAGAAAGAGAGAGAGGGAGAAACAGAGAAA